CTTTCCCTTCCTATAATAAAATCCCTCCCAGTCTAACAGCATAATCTATGACACGCTTGATCTGCTATTCATTTGAAGTGTCGTAGCATCCTGCTTTATCTTCTGATGTGGCAGAGACCTCCTCATCACCAGCGCCAGCACTGTTGGTTGCTAGGAGCTATTTGCTTTATGCCGAGTCATTTTCATGGTTATTATGGCCCCACATTAGCGAACATAAGACTTGTGATTTCAGCCTTCACATTAACGCACATGTTACTGTCAGCAGAAGCACTAGAAGCTATTTACGTTCCCACAGCATCTTGCCATTATTCACTATTCAACTTGATTCCCCCTTTTTTTCCATTAAAATAATGAGATATTTAATGAGTTTTCTTGAAGTCATCTCAGGTCACACGCATCCAACGCTACACTTTTTTTCTAGCAGATAAACACACACTTAACACTCAAGCTAAGGCTGAGATTTACACTCTGACACCTGCAGACACTCGCTGCTGTAGGCTTTTATCCTCAGGCACCTGGATAGCTAAGAATTACACAGAGAGAAACATATTCATTTGGGGAATATACACGTACACATCCTTCCCCGAGACAAGCCTTTTGTCCTGAGGCAGAGAAGAAAACTACAGTTGGATTACCAGGCTGGTGTGGTAGTTTGGGCCCTTGGGGTTGCTCCTCGTAGGTTGCACCCTTCTCTCTTTGACCTCCTTTCCCCTCCCTTTTGTGAAAACTGCGAGGCTGTGGCGATTTATCTGTGTTAACCACATGGCCCGCTGAAATTAGGATAGAGCAAATATGACTGATGTCATTATCTATGGACTGCAGCAAAAGTGAATGTCTCTGAATGTCATTTTACGACTGCGACAGCGTGTTTGTAAAGAGGTCAGGAGCGAGGATCGTCTTTTAAGAAAGCTATGAAATGAGTGGGAAAGAAAAAAAGAACCTGTTCTAGTTTATGAAAAAAAAAAAGAAAAACAGAATTCCCTCTTTGACAGAGTTCTCATCCAATAAGACATGCTGTATTTGTTCATGCCTTCTGCATACACCAGCACAATTCTAAGCACTCCGAAATGAAACCAAGGAGACAAATGTAAACTTTTCAACCTTTGATATACTTTCATGCTTGACTTATTTGGTAAAAAAAGTAGTGAAACAACTCTAGTGGAATGCAGCTGTGACATTTCTATTTAAGCATTCAGTTATCGCTACCGTTTTCCAAAAGGCTTTTCTCATTCTATTCAAGTGAGACCAATTTAACGTTTGAATATGTAGTCTGGAAACTGTTAGATCTATAAAGATGACTTATACATACATATGCAACACTAACATTTAAAAACTCATTCTGAAACTCCTCTGTGAGTGAAATAGCTGCTTTATCTTTTAAATAGTGTGATGACATGGTTAGGACAGAGAGCAAGAAGCTTCCCCTTCACTACATTTTCTTCACCTCAGATAAAAAGGCGGTGAGGCTGTATGGAGACACAGTTAACATGTTAATATTTGCTATTTAACACTAAACACAAATTACCGCTTGCAGGGAAGACCTAAAGTTGGACTCATCCTAATGGGCACATGAATGAACATGTGTGTTCATGGCAACCCATCGAGCAAAATGTCGAGATATTTCACTCAAAACCATAAATGGGAATCTGAGGGCTTAATGGAAGGTCAGGGGATTCTAAAAGTCACACACTGAGGAGTTATAAGGTTAAAAACACCTGTCTAATATCGTGTAGGTGCGCCTAAGGCCACCAGAACAGCTGTGACCTGTCGAGGCCTGGACTCCACAAGACCTCTAAAGGTGTCCTGTGGTATCAGGCACCAAGATGTTAGCAGCAGACCCTTTAAAGGCCCCATATTGTGCCGCTTTTGTGCAAATTAAAAACGGTGTCACACGTCACCAGAATGTGTCTTTCAATTTTTCAATTCAAAATGTCGTAAGTGTATAACCCCTAGTTTTAGTTCTAAGTGTGCTGTTTGATGGTCTGAAGCTTTAATAAAGGCAGCTGAGTTGCAAGTGTCTACGACCCCTTTCAGGAAGAAGACTTTCTCTGCATTTGTGATTGACAGCGTGACAGCCGTGAATGAGTGTGTGAAGCTTCTAACATTCTCTCATCATCTCGTTGCTTTAACTCGTGTGTGGTGGTGAATTTGTCAGATGATGTTGCAGTTAGAAGTATTTTAGCAGAGAGAGCAGCAGCTTGGAAATGGCCATGAAATGACTGCTGGTTAACATGTAGTCTTAGCGTTTCAGTCACTGTGTCGTACTTGTTCTGTTGTCTGACATCAGAAACAAAAAAAGAATTCAGCAGAAAATAAGCAACCAGATTTAAACATGGGCCAAGCTTAGGTTGCACTGAAGCACAACAGAAGACATAGAATCACAGTAACTCACCCAGTTCAAAACACTCTTAAAGTTTCCACCATCTCTGAGTGTCCCTCACCTTCTGCAGAACTCTGAACAGAACCTGTGTGCATACAATCAGTATTTTAGAGTTAGCAGTAGCAGCTATAGAAAGTAAACAAACCTGGTGAACTGTGAGGCGGCTGCTCTCTTGGAATAGTTCACCTGGAAGCAGCAGGCAGTTAGGGTGCAGGACTATACAAAGTTTGAGCTCTACGACTAGTGGTTCCTCAGTTTGAATGTAGCAGCTAAACAGAATTCCTTCTGGCTTGTAAACATATAGGAGGCTGTCAGGTTGTGTGGGGTTTGAGGAACGACAGAAGTAAAAGTCTTCGTATCTTAAAAGCTTTTAGATGAATAAAAGACAATAAAAATTGATTTTCACTGAATGGACCTTAAAATCCCAGAAGTTGGAAGGTGAGGCCTCCATGGATTTAAGGGAATTCTACCATAAATGCTTGATTAGATTGTCATTGGGGGAATTTAGATGCTAAGTTGACACCTTGAACTCTGTCATGATTCTCAAACCATTCACACTACCTGTCCATCATAGTCAGTATGAAGCTTTTTTTGAGGGATTGGACCATATGGGCAAGCCTTTGTTCTCCACATGCATCCATGATCCTTTGGTACCCGTTCCTCTATGACCATGTCCTTCTTTGGAACACTTTTGGTTGGCATTAACCACTGCATGCCGGGAACACCCCACAAAGCCTGCTGTTTGGAAGAGACTCTGACTCAGATGTTGAGCCATCACAATTTGGTCCTTGTCAAAGTTGCTCACATCCTCATGTTGCTCAATTTTCTTGCTTTCGATGCATCAACTTCAAGAGCCTAGAGTACCTCACCACTCGTCTGGTGCCATCGTAACAAGATAATGAGTGTTATTTCGTACACCTGTCAGTTGTTTTGGTGTTGGGGTTCATCTATGTACATTGTGAGAAAACCACAAGTTTCTGTTCAAAATGTCAAACCAATCCATCTGATACATATTTCACAGGATAGTAAAAAACTTGCTTCTGCTGCTTGAGTAAAAGTCAAGGAATCAGCATCATGACTTGCCCTACGGAGAAAAAGTTTTGTGCCAATCCCTACAAAGTGGTGGACCGGCCCATCTTAAGAGCCAAACCTCCTGCCTGGCTAAAGACTCACTGCGCTGTCGACAATATTTCCATGCCTATTTTCACAAATGTAGTTATTGGGTGTTTTGACAAATACTCCCAGTAACTGGAGCATTGTTCTCTTCCACATGGCACATCAAAATCAACCATAGCAAGACGAGATAAATCCAGCAGTTGGGTTGAAGCTTTGAAGCTGAACATTGGGTGACTAACAAAAACCAGTCCTCACACCGCACCGCCAATTTTAGTTCCGCATTTTAGTGCCACATAATTGCCAAAAAACAATGAATACAACACCCAGAGACATCAGCAGCACACTTAATTACACCAAAAAAAGGATTTTAATTAAATTCAATTGAAAAGAAATGCTATCTGATTAATACGCTTTCTGTTTCAGTTAAACAAATTTGCTGTAGGTCATGAAGCTTCCCTCAGTTTTGCAAGTCAATTTGCATTTTTAAAAAAAGGAAGAGAAAGAAAGAAAAAAGATTCAACCATGGTTTTGCTTTCCACAAAGTGCCAGAAGCTGATATTAAGTAAATCTGACTTAGCTGGAGACTTTATTTTACAGTTTAAGTTGAAATAACCGCAATCTCTTGTTTACCTAGTCGGACAAACAACACGAATGGAGTTTGCACAGCAGAGTTTTGTCGGTTTTTAGGTGTGGTTGTTTTTGTAAATGGGTAACATGTTGTGTACATGTAACCGCAGGCACACAGAGAAGCAAAAACATGTACCAATAACTGTATGTTTTTTCCTGCACGTATGCAGTAGGTGGATGTTTGTTATCGAGCTGACCTATAGACGCCCGACTGGGTCACAGAGAGTCTTGCAAAACCCGTTTCCATGTTGTTGTGGGGCCTTGGGAGAGTGTGTCAGCCGGGCAATGAACCCTTTTTTTTCTACTTTATCGCTGGCTGATGTGCAGAGGCCCATACAAGCCTCATCCTGAGCCACACCTCCTTCAAAACTAACCCAAAGTTCAACAACTTTTTACCAACAAGAGAAAAAAAAGTTGTTGTGCCACTAACCTCATTTCCCAAAAGCTGCCTATATAAGGGTACCTGTGCAGGGGAGAGAGAAAAACTCCTTTCAGCTTCCATCCAGACAGGATTGAGCTTGATTCCTACCTGGTAAACACGTGTTTTCTTGGCATGTTCAGATACTTAGTGCTTTTTTTTGCAACTTTTTTGGCACTGATGCAACATTTTGAGCTTGCACTTTCTTTGCACCCAGCTCTCCAAATGCTCCTTATAGCATGAGCTGCATATGTTTTCATGCCATTTAGAGTCTCTCTCTCTGTTTCCACTTTCATTTCAGCTCTCCAGCCTCCTGTTCCGTGCGTCTGTCCCGGACGAAGGGGGCGGTGGGGTGGCGTCACGTCATATCAGCCGCCGCGCTCCCATTGGCTGCCGATTCTCACCCGACACAGCTGTGATTGTTTTCTGCAGAGGAAGCTCTCGTCGCTTGCTATGAGCTCCGTGCGCTGGAATGGAGTAGCACTGTGTGGCTTTTTTTCCTCCTCCTTCCTCCGTGTGTTTGCGACCGATGATGTGAACAAACAACGCCATTTGAAAGCCCTTGTTTTCTAAAGAGCAGCGAGACAAAAGGAGAAGGGGGGAGATCCCGGCTTAATCGGTTTTTCCTTTCTTTCTGTGAGACACTGAAGGAGATCAAGGTAAGGAGCGAGAATCACGAGCTTTACGCACCAACTTTCATCCTGCAACAGTGCATCTCTGGACTGATTTGGTGCAACTGTATATACAATTTGATTGTGTTTTCCTTCTCCAGCTACTAAAAAAGAAGTGCCAAATGTCCAGACTGGAGGACCACTGCTGGAGCTGCTCCTGTTCACCCAAGGCTGAAACTAAGCACTCGTCATCTGGAGCGAACTGGTTGGCATCCAAAGCTGAAGAAATGATGTCCATCATCACCTCGGTGCTCAGCCATGCCTACGGCTCGCTGCACGACGTCCGCACCGCCAACCTCATCCGCCGGGGTCTGGTCCTCTTCACGGTCGGGGTTTTCCTCGCCCTGGTGCTCAACTTGCTGCAGATACAAAGACATGTCACCCTGTTTCCCGAGGAGGTGATGACAACTTTGTTTTCCTCTGCCTGGTGGATCCCGCCTTGCTGCGGCACAGGAGCTGGTGAGTGCTGCTTTGGAGATGTTAAATGAACATGTTGTTGTGGATAGTTTCTGGAGGACACGTTATCAGGAGTTTTGCTGCTAATTTTGGGGGACAAAGGAATGCACAGAGGGGAGGGGTTACGGTGCAGCAGCTTGTCCATATAAAGATAAATAGACAAAGGGTGAAATAAAGCCAGTGCATGCAACTTATCATTCATTCGTGAGCGCTAAAAGTGAGGAAATCAAGTGCATTGGCATCACACGCCATACTAGGCAGTAAAATAGTGCGATTGTGACATATATGGAGCAGAATAACAACACAGTCTGATAATCGCCTCTGTCACCAGCTACTGTATGATCATGTGGTCATGATTCGTCATTCGGCATTGTTTTTGCGCGCTATTATATAAGCCAAGGCTGTAATAGACTTGATGGTTTTGTCTGGCAGGCAGCTTTAAAAAAAAAATGACTGTGCCACAGATGGTGTAGAATCTTGCGCTCTGATTGGTCGCAACAGCCGGACACGAGGCGAGCTGCGCGCTGATTGGTTCGTGTCATAACGGGTGAGCTGAGGGGGCGGGCGCTTTGAGGCCAAGAACCCGGAAGTGAGAGAGAGAGACAAGGGGGAAGAAAAGAGCCGCATCCACGCGTGGCTCCTCCTCCCATGTGCTGTAGGGCAGAAAACAAACGGAAAACAAGATGTGGCTTCTTGTTGTCGTGTTCAGTTCACCTTAGTTTGTGTTTTATTAAAGTCTCTGTCGTGTAGTAACTTGTTTAAGGTCTTCATTGTGTGAACTGTGTGCATTTAGTGCTCAGGACTTTGTTTACAGTAACTTACTCTGGTGTTTTCTATTTCTCACTACTGCTCAATAATGGCTGCTTTTCAGTTTAACAGGCAGCTTTTTAGTCTTTAAATGTCAGAAATGAAAGAAAATGTTCTTCAGTTTCCTAAAGCTGAAGATGGTGTCATTTAATAACTTGTTTTGTTCGACAAATAGGAGGATGCCCAGTTTACATTGAAATAAACTGAGAAGTTCAGCATGTTTTCAGATATTAAGTGCTTGAAATTGCAAATGTGGGGTATTTTTCCCTTGATGACATATTCTCTTTGTGTCAATTTAACAAAAAAACTGATGAGGTTCAATCTCAGTCTAATATAAAGCATCAACTGGGTACAGTCAATGAGGAATCAGGACAGCTGTTATCTTGAATACATGCTGAATGTTTGGGATTCCAAATATAGTACAAAGTGCTCATCATCACTTCATTCAATGCCAAAGTTAATGTTTTTAATTCTGTCCAAAATTGTGTTTTCTTTTACTGACACCAAAGACTTAGAAAGAGGAAATGAAGAACTATGTGGTGTTTTTTTTTTTCTTGAGAATCGATGTAAACAACAAATTGATCATCACAATAGTTTCTAATTAGTTCTCTGTAGTGTCACTAATCAACTACCCGACTAAATGTTTCAGTTCTAATTCCTGTAGCTTCAGAGACACAGATTTGGTATTTGTGTTTCTATAGTTCCTGTTTCTGAACTTCACAGATGTAGAATAACTCGTGCGGAACAGGCCAGCTTGACATTACACAAAACAAGGAATCATCTAAAAAGCCCACACAGTCAAACAAACACCAAGCTTAGGAAGTAAAATGACTAAATTAGTTGATGTTCTTCTTTTAGGTGGTTTTCAGCATACGTGCATTAGGACTAGGTCACTAATAATGGAAACACAGGCTCAGCAAATAACGTCTCTCAGCAGCTCCATGAGAGGACTTGCTCTTCTGCGTTTTGCTGATTTTTCTGCTTATCTTGTATAATTTGGGTCTGTTTGTTCCCTTTTCGCAGCTGTTGTTGGTCTGCTGTATCCCTGCCTCGACAGCCATTTGGGAGAGCCGCACAAGTTCAAGAGGGAGTGGGCCAGCGTCATGAGGTGCATCGCCGTGTTCGTGGGCATCAACCACGCCAGTGTTGTATCCTTTCACTGTGGACTCAGTTTACTTCAGAGTTGTCTTTTTTTTTTTAGTCGTAGCTAACAGGTGGAAAATACACCAATAATCCGCCTCTAGTTTGGGGAGTATCTAGAGCAACACAGTGACCGTCTTTACCCTTTGACACTGGGTAGTGATGGAACACACAAATATTTGCATATGAACTAACCTCAGTGCGTCACACTGGTTGACTTTGTCCTTAACTTCCCGTGACACAGAAACTAGACTTCGCCAACAATGTGCAGCTCTCCCTAACGCTGGCCGCCCTGTCCTTGGGCCTGTGGTGGACCTTCGACCGGTCCAGAAGCGGCTTTGGCCTGGGCATCACCACTGCCTTCCTAGCTACTCTGATCACACAGCTGCTGGTCTACAATGGAGTTTACCAGTAAGTTAACAAGAATGCAGTATTCAAGGAAAGTCTGGCAGTCAGGTTTTCCCTTTTGATGAAACAAAACTTTTGAAATGATTCATCACAAAGTGCTTCGTCAACCAGAATTTTTTTGCTTTCGTGTGACACTCACATCAAAAGCTATGTGGTTTGGTCTAAGTGTGGGAGTAAACCCAGCTGTGGTGTGAATACAGCAGATAAAGCACCTGGAAATATCTGTCTGCTTCCCAAAAAAAGTACTAAAAGTCCTAACAGCCCCCCCTACCTGCATCAGTGGCACAACATCAGAAATATGCAGCAGCTGCCCAGGATAAGTGGCTCAAAAAAGAACTCGTGCTGAGTGTACAAGTTAAAAACAGAGGGTTAGACTGTATTGCTGCCAGCATGATAGTTGTATTTTTGCTCCACTCAGATCTCTTTCCAACATTGTCTCTACATTGTTTTGTTTTTTTAACCTTCTGTGTATCTTATTCATAAATCTAACTGAGACTTATGTTGTTGTTGGATTATTATATTATGTCTGTTTGGGATTTTTGTTTTCATTCTGCCTCCAGGGTTTAGAAACGGAGCAGCAAAACCACAGCCGCAGAGACTTCTCGTCTGTTTGCTCTACATTATTAATCATTATTTACCAAGACTCTTTTGTTTCTCTTTTTTCTATTTTAGATACACATCTCCAGACTTCTTGTATGTACGCTCCTGGCTCCCGTGCATATTCTTCTCAGGCGGCGTGACTGTGGGCAACATAGGACGGCAACTTGCCATGGTAATACTATATTCAGATTAAACACTCACATACTGATGTGTTTTGCTGATTCTGCATCGTGTCAAACTTCACTTCACCTTAAAGGAATATTTGCAGTCAGTAGCAGATCTGCACCAATAAAACTGCAGATAAAGTGTCTTCATTACACAGTTTGTCCTACAAACTTCTGATAAGTTTACTTTATGAACAGGTCATATCTTGAACTCACCAAATAGAATAGATTAGATGTACTGAGTGGCCCTGCGATGGACTGGTGACCTGTCCAGGGTGTCCCCTGCCTTTGCCCTAAATCGGCTGAGTTAGGCTCCAGCACCCCTCACGACCCTAGTGAGGATTAAGCGGTGTATAGATAATGGATGGATAGATGTACTGAATGGGGAATAAAATGCATCACAAAACTGACAAATTCATCCAAACACATGTGGCATAATCCGTGTTTTCAGGAGCCAAATAACTGGGTCCCAAAGTTTAGCATTTATCCGACTAAAGATTAGTTTTCTCCCCTTGAAAAACTCAGCCAACGCCGCCTTACTGCTTAAGAAGCCTGTGAACTACTGTTTGACAGGCATGAACACAGGTTGTTGTGTAGTTTGTTGGAAATCTTCTTGGACAACATGGATCCTGAGAGAACATTTTACAGATCAGTGGTGTAAAATTGGGTTACCCTCCACGAGAGAACATTCACGATGTATTTGATGTTGAGTTTGTTAGTTTCACGATTATTTTCGTACTTAAACGTCAAGAATAGCATTTTCATTTTCAGCTTTGAGGTAAACCATTCCTTTAAACAGCTACCAAATCGCTTCTTTTACTGCTGCAGGTTTCAGCGGAAACCAGTCACACGATGCTCTTGATCTCCATCCAAAGGCTTTTCTAACTTGCCAAGTGAAAATTCAGGGGCAAACACAGAATCGGCGTGACACATTCAAAGTTTTTACTCTGTCATATTTGCATGAAATATCCCTCCACATTTATCAGCATCAGCCTCTGCGCTCTTGTCTTAACTCGAATAGAAAACGCTGACTTCAAAAGACTCCCCCCTTTTGCACCACGCACGCTTTATTTGCAATTATTTAGCTGAACCACAGCCGCAGATAACATTGTCAAATGGTTTAAATTTGTGCAAAGAGCATTGGACGCCCCCCTTCCTTCATAATTATCCCATCAAGTCAGCTTTGATGTCTTCATTAAGCTTCTGCCCAGAAGCCTCACCTCATTCTGTCTGTAAAGTAAGAGTCCCGTCACTCCCTCAGTTTGACTCAGTGAAAGCGTGAAAGCAGATTAAGAGCTGTTGTTTTTCACAGTCGTGGCGAGACACAGAGCCAGTCAGGACTCGGCTGACCAGAGGGTCATTTGCTACTTGTTGTTTTTGTTTGTGATGAGGCCGGAGGAATGTTGGCACAAGTCTGAACTCGTGGTTTTGTTCTGTGTTTTTCTCTCTTTCGCTCCAGCGGGTCATTTATGAGAAGGATCAGGAGGGACATGAGACTTTCTTTTTTTTTTTTTTTCTCAATTTTGTTTTTTTGGTGGCTTTTTTTTTTTCTATTTTGGGTTTAAGCCAGTTACAGTGAAACAATCTGTTTAGCAGAATTAACCATGAAGATTTTTTTTATTTATTTCTTTGTAAAAAGCCCCTTTTTCTCCATCCAGCTTTTGTTAGATCTGATTTAAAGCTGATTATTTTTTTAACCATTTTAACCAGGTTACAGTCACATGTGTTGATTTAGAATCCATGTTTTGAGTATTTTAAAAATGTTTTTCTGATGGGCAAAACGAGTAATGAGCCAGCTGTACTTTCCCCACTGATTGTACAAAATGTTCAGTTGCCGAGGGGGGAAAAACAAATCTGAAAAAAAGAGGAACTGAAAGACACATTATGACACTTAAATTAGGCCTTTATATGAGCTTAACCAGCAGCAAGAGATTCATTGAACAATCTTAGCCCACAGATTTTGGTTTCAGTCTTGAAAATGAGTCACTGAAGGCCACACACTACTTCTGAATTTCCAAACTGTTAAATTTTATTGCATTCTGTTCCTAATTGCTGCAGTAAACTGATTGATTACTAATACGAGCCTTCCTTGTCTATCTCTCAGGGTGGCATCGAGAAGCCCCACATGGATTGAGCTACACAACGGCAGACAACCAGGGTGAAGGGCAGCCGTCATAAAAATGGATCAGTTATGTGAAGAATGAGAAGAACAACAGGAGAAAAAGGACTCATTGTTTTGACTTCATCCTTTGTTCTCATAACAAAGTGCAGGTCAGAAAAGCCCCTCATCTAACGTGCCATGTCCTCTGCACCTCCTTGTGGCCAAACAGCCTCTCCCTCCCTTCTGTTCTTACTCCCATCAGCATTAAGGCTTCCTTCACACCACACAGGAGGACAGTGTTCGCCTTTCTTTTTTTTTTTTTTGTGGTTGAAGTGAGCAGTCGACAGATTTTTATTTTAAGGAGAGGACATGTGTGCTTTAGTGTCCTGGTCATAGCAGAGAAGACATGATGAGGGTGCTATAATGTTGTTTTTTTATTAATTAGTCTGAATATATTGTGATCTAAAAGGGAAATGTTGTTAGAGTGGGCAGAAACATGTCTTCATTCTCACACAGAAATGTATTCAGTGGCCTCAGTAGCATCGCTGAGATGTACGTTCCCAATCAAACCAAATTGAGTATTTATTTTGTAAGTTTTCAGTGGCCCCAAACCAAATGTATGCATGATAATGAATGACATTTCCCTTTTTTTTTTGAAAGGAGTAGCGTGATATTTTGGGGAAATGTTAGTTACATTTGGGAACATCTTGCTCGAGATGATAGAAGGAGGCGACCGGCTTTGTTTAGCAACACATTCAACGCACAGAAACACGAGTTGTATCAAATCTTCTCATCAAAATATTCCTCAAATTGTTGTTTTTTTTTTATAGATGACAGTAGAATGAGTGGAGGTGAAATATATAAGAAGTGCCAATTAGTTTACTACCGACTCACATTCACTGTGTGGGGATTTGAGAGACACTCTGTGAGAATGTTTGGAGCACAAAATGCAACCTGCTTGGGGGAGTTATTTACCAGCAAATGGTGTTATATTCACAATCACAGCTATTTCTCAGTACAAAATCACTTTTTCACTTTTTTTTTTGTTTTGGAGAAGCGACACTTTTTTTTTTAGTATGTTTTCGTCCGTCACTAATAAGCTCCAGACAAACAGAGAGGATTGTTTAAAGAAGGAAAGAATGTGAACATGAAAGCATTAGTCTGGACTGAAGAAAAAAAATGTCAGCAATGTGCACATGTGAGTGAAACAAGCCACCAGGGTGAACCATGTTGTGAAAGAATGTACCAGAAGTATCCCACAACTTTGCCGTGATACCAGTAAAAACACTTTCCAGTGCATTTTTTAAATTTTTTTTGTCTTGTAGAGTGAACTTTTGCTTCCCATCGAGACAAACTTTTTGCTGTGTGATACGACACGCTTTTTTTTTTTCTTGATAGTTTTGGAACCTTTTACCGATTCAATGAGAGGGCAGGACATTATTACTTAAGATTTGCAATCTGTGATTGCCTGTGTATTATAGAATGTAGTGCTTTTGTCACTATAACAGTTTAGTTTTATCATCTGTATAAACATAATGACATTACTGCTTGTATGTATAATGGCTTGCCGATGTAATCAGACAGGTATTATTACCATACTAGACCTAGTTAGTGTTTTGGGGGTCTAAAGGATTAAGTGCAATCAGACTATTCATGAGCCGATTATTCTTCCTTATTTATTATTTCTGACAAAGGCTAAAAAAAAACAACATTAAAACTTGTAAGTATATGCAGTGTGGATCATTCAGAAAAAGCAATAACATCTTTTGTTTTTTTGTGACTTTTGTCAGATTTACATGCCTTCAGAGTCAATACCAATGACTCTCACCAGAGAGACAGCGTTAAAGAAAAAGAAGCATATATTGTGTCAAACTGTTGTAAAAAATCTCATTTAGTAGCATTATTGAAGGATACCTGATTTATTTTTTTAAATACTTTGTGTGGCAGATCACTTCAGGTCGACTCTGCTTGCATTCAGGTGTGCTATACTGAAGAGGAAGCTTTATTTTTTTGAGGTGGTGAAGCACCTTTTTTTTTTTTTTTGTTTCAATGTTTTAGAGTTTCTGTGTACGTCTATGATATTTCAGCTGTGTATTGTTTTTGCTACCTTGGATTTAAGTGACAAAATAAAAACACCTGACAAGGATGTGTGTGTGTTGTCATGACTCACATATGAGGGACTTAGAACTAGTTGGAGATGAATACAATAAAAAATCAGAGGAATTAAAGACGCTTTGATTCTGCTGATTAATAATAAACCTTAATGCTAACAAACATAATTAATGTCATTACCAGACACTTGCCTAATTGCACATCCCAACAGCTTCGGCGAAACAATGGCCCCTCAGATTTTTATTTGGGTGTCAAAAGCGACCGCGGCTCAATTGCGATGGAGCTTTCTGGGGGTGCTGATGATGGCATTTGTTGTGTCTGCTGTCACAGTCAAGTTGAATAGATGAGGACGCTCTTTTGTCCCGGCTCTCTGTCAGTCTCCGAAGCCATTATAATGCGTTTGGCTGCATCTTCCCTCTCTTTCCTGTTCTCTGCAAGACCCTCCCCAACCCACCCCAAAAAAAAAAAAAAAAAAAAACCCTGAAACTACCCCCCACCCCTGTGTGTCACTGGGATCATGAGGAACTGCCCCCTCCCCTCCTTCCTCTGTCTACCCCCTCTCTGAACACGCCTTTCTGGAGGGCAGACTTCTATTTATACCTAGCGGGGGACTGACAGTTAACCTTTTGCACTGGGGAACATTTCTGGGAGCGGGGCCAATATCTGTGAGCTATTCTGAATCAACCCCTCATTCTGGGAGACTCTCCATACATCTATGTATCTGTTGTGTTTCTATCTATCTATCTATCTATCCATCTATCCATCTATCCATCTATCTATCTATCTATCTATCTATCCATCTATCTATCCATCTATCTATCTATCTATCTATCCATCCTCTCCTCCATGTCTCTGACAGGGCAGCGATCCAGCGCCACACGCCACCTCTTCTCTCTCCCCTCCTCTTTCAGTCTCTTACTCTTCTCAGGCAGAATAATTGGCCAGGCTTCAACCTCCTTTCATTTCCAGCCACAGCAAACTGAAAGACTCCATTAGAGCACCTCCTTATTGCCAAAAGCGCCCCCTCTCTCCCTCTTTTCTCCCCCCCTCCTTCCCTTTTCCTACTCTCTCAGTCCGTCCTTCAAGGCCAGGAGACAAGCCGGGTCCCATCTGATCTATTGATTGCGCCATCTATAGGTTTGCATCTCGTTGCAGCACCTTTGTGACTTTAAAAAAATGTCTCGTTAGTTGCCCTGTAATTTGATGCAGCCAGTCAACTGCCAGTAAACATGAAGGCGATGAAAGTTTAACAGCTCTACACTCAAATGTGGCCTTTTTGAGTTATTTACTTTGCTTTTCGCTGCACTTTAACCTCTTCAAAAGCTCATCTTTCTTGAATGAGAAATGGTTCAGTGGGACAGTCATCCAGATCAAACTGTATTGATCCCAGGAGGGAAAACTACACTATAAATAAAAAAAAACACACCATACAGTCATGATAAATAAATTAATAAAATAAAGCAAAAGGTATAATTTACCACACATGATGTGTTATCCTATAAAACTAATAGTGCAGCCTTCTGATAATCCAGCACAAGGTTGCACAGTTTATGTAGCATGTTAAGAATTAATATTTATATATAAATTAGCAAAGATATAGAGATTAGCATGTATGCATAATAAATCTGATCAACTGTAGAGCAAACTATCGTGTAACCATATAATAAATGATATCAATGTGTGCATTTAAGCAGGCATACATGCTTTAATATAGATAACGAGGTAGCAACTCAGTAGTATAGTATAAGAACAATATTACTGCACTGTAGGATGGTGATATCTCAGTTTATCACTATTTAAAGTTCCGAGGAGCTAAAGATGCCTTTAATATGAGAGGCGAAACATCTTTAAGAATCCAAACTAAGCCAAGTTGCCTCCGCACTCAGAGATGTGTTTGGCCTTGAGAAATTTCTGTGATTCCGCAACATCTCCAAAAAAAAAAGAAACCCTTAACTTTTGCATGGGAAAGAAGGGTTCCGTTCACATTTGTATTGAGAAAACAGTTTAGGGCGCAATACTCGACTACATTACTTCCTCAGACTTTGGTACACTAATTGCTCTTCAACTTACTGCCCCTCAGCGGTTCCCAGGGGTGGGAAGTTACCTTGAGTATTTCTATTTAATGCTACTTTATCCTTCTGCTCCTCCACTACATTTCAAAATAAATGTTGTACTTTTTTTTACCGCGCTACATTTACAGTAAGTGACATTTGGATTTACTTTTAAGATTTAAAGAAGAAACATAAAAAGATGCAGTAGTTTTGTAAAACGCATTGCACAGATTAGACTAGTGGTCTTTGACTTGTTGCCTTTTAAAATAATTTGGGTTTTTTTGTCACACGTTTCATGTGAATACAAACTTTTACAGAAATATTTTCTTGTCTAAGCTTCTCAGATGATTTCATTTAAACAACTGCTCAAGGCTCAGGGAGGTAAAAACATAGCATAACTTTATTTTTTCTACTTTTCTATGCCAGCAGTAGTCAGCACATGAACTCTCCAGTGTATCTTGTGACCCTTTGGGGAGGCCTCAAACCAAAAACCTGTGAGCTGTCGGACTAAACTACCAAACTTTACATAAAGAAGTTAAAGCCTAGAACCACCTTGAGCAACAGAGAGGTGCTGCTCACACACTGATGCATCAGGATTAACAATTTATTATTGTAATGTAACAATGTCAGTCACTTTCACACGGAGCAAATACATCTTCTTGATACTTGCATACTTGTACTTCAGTAGATTTGAATGCTGGCGGCCTACCTCCTCCTGCACACGTCTCTGTTGCAAACTTTCTGTCAACTAACTCTGCCTGTCAAACACATTTAAAATAATTCAAGTGCTCCTATAAAGACACTGCTTGCTTTGGCTCCTTCTGTGGTTCTCAGCTGTGGTGGATTAAGTTCAACGTTAACAACTTGTTCTGCAACTTAATGCATGAGATAGTTAAATGAAAGAAGATATTAAAATACATGCTATTCTAAAACTGTGCAGCAGATAACAATGCTGTCTAGTCTGCAGTGATGGCTTTTGTTACCACCAGATGACAGTATTTATCCTCTCAGCTTGTCTGGACATGACATCTATGGACCCCTAGTGGAGGGACAAGGAACAGAAATGTCTTGCAGGGCCTGATCTGACAATGAAACAAGGTTTAACCTCTTCACCTGTTCACTTGTATGAAAATGTAGATCACACACATCTTCTGGGTCTTCAAGCAAAGCAGAGTGTAGTCACCTGGTTTGAGAAAACAAGTTGTATATATTTTAAAAAATGCATCCAAAAGTGAGCACATATATCATATCAGTTGTTTCTTCTTTTAAAAAACAACAACAACAACAAAAAGTCAACGTATTTTCCTTAAATCCTCTTAAAACCACCCATGGACACACAATTTTGGATTCAAAAATATAATTTATTAAACAGTGGAAGGAATATTATTCTCGGAATATTTATCTCACACTGCAGTGAGCGGGGCAGAGTCACATGCATGATAGAAAAGGTCAATGAAATGGATTGAGTGTGAAGAAAATCATTGCACACTCTTATTTCTCTGCCAAAAGGTCTTCAGTGGCATTAATGTCCTGCTCTCTGTGATATATAATGAAAGATTGAGTGTGTGTGTGTGTGTGTGTGCGAGCGTGCGAGTGTGTGTCGTTTAGGTCTACTGAGTCTTCATTACACCAGAGCGGGGTCCACTCCTGTCCTCTGCCCTCGCTCATTGCCTCTCCCACTGCTGGCCAGGAATAATGAATTACAGTGGATGCCATGGGGGGCTGAGTGAGTGGCTCAGAAGTGGACTCCATTTTAGCTCAAATTACCTCTCAGATTCCATTCAAATGGCAGTCTCAGGCTGCTCCCTGCCTTCTCTGCGTATTCATGTCTGAGGGTGAAATGATCCGTTCACACCTTTGCTCCATTTAAGTAGCTGTGATTCCTACTTTTTTTTTAGGGGGGGTGGAGGGGTCATTCCTCCAGGTGCTCTAGGGTTAAATCACAGAAGGAAAAAAAACAGAAAAGCATCTGCATAAAAAAAAACAGTCGGCTGATACAGGATCACCTTTAAAAAAAGTGTAAACAACAATCCGTGTCATGTGGGATTTATCTGTTCAGTCAGCACGCTCAGCCTTGTGTGCCATTCCTGTTGATTCCTCCTCTTCGTCCACAGGACAATAACAAAATGACAGCATAAACCTCAGGTGATGGCAAATTATGCATGCCATCCAAACAAATCCTCTCCCAGTGTAAATTAAACACACCCAGTGCATCTTACAAGCCAGATCAGACTCTGTAAATCGACCAGGGTAATAATAATAACAGCTGAATAAAGGCTAATGGAATAAATCAAGGTGAGCATTTCCATTTGCAAGTTGTGTCTTGCAGAGGCGAGGCGACGAGAACTCTGCATTTTGTGAACTGGTGAACAGAGTACGCTTATTCCTTTAGGTTTTCAAAAAACTATATTTTAAAATTTAAATATGAGGGGATGCACTTTCAATCTGGATTCAAGGAGATTAGCTCTGTTCGCAGGCCTCGGTGTGAGATTTAGGATGAAAAACAGTCATTTTTTTGTGTAGGATATCATACAAATCAAAACACTAGTGTGGCTTCACAGAGCTACATCACATTACAACAACCTTATTTGACACACATCAGAGGGATATGTTTTCCTACTTATATTGTCAAAGAAAAAAGAGAATCAATTTGCATAATCCAAATCATGCTTGCAGCCCTACTTAGGATGCACTAAAGGTCCATGTTTGTCATGTTTTAATTAGTCTTCATTAGTAGGCGTAAGCATATTTCTAGGAAGCAACAGGCATGCAGGCTATTCACTCCGCTGCTGAGAAACGCACTAAGTTGGCAGCCTAAGCCATCTGGGAAAGTTATTGCTCCTAAAATGTTCCTTTGACGAGCCCGTGCCCAGATAAGTGACAAATTCACAACATATCCGCTCCTGGGGGGTAAAAACAACTCAGGTGCCACACGGGGGTGAAAGGGACTCTGTCGCACATGGCGCTTTCAGGGGAGTCCAGC